GTCTTTGTAAGAAGTATAAACTCCCTTGTTTGGCCCCGTAACTAGGGCATAATGTGTAAACCCCTTACCAGAAGGAAATGCTATGGAAGTCAACCTAACTTCCTTGTTATCTGCATTGCAGAAACAGTATAATGCGTTAATAATCCTTTGCTTCATTCTAGCGACTTGTTGCTCATTCTGAGTTGTGTGTTTTGGAATATTCCAAATATTGTCAATTAAAACATTTAATTTGACATTTGTAGATTCTCTACCTGGAAACTAGTAGGAATTTGTAAGTATGGGTAAATCTTGTTTCCCATACCTCATGTATTTCTGCGCCATAAATGGGGATTTTGTGGGTTTAGGACCTAAAGGCCCTTTCCCTTTGTTTGTGGAATCCATTATTGGATTTTTTGTTCTTGAAAAAGAAACATTAGTAAGCAAGTTATATTAACTTGTAGTGGCCATCAATGGTCTTTTGTTCCTGAAAACATCAGAAAACAGGTTATATCAAGCAATAAAATGGTTATATTAAGCAACAAAATGACTTACTTTCCCTAATTCTTGTTTTAGAGATTTTATATGGGCCTTATAAAAGGCAACCTCATAAGCAAATTTATGAGGGTTTATTTCGTCTTTCTTTAGACGTAATTCGACTAATATTCTTTTTAGTCTCTTTATGTGTTTTGTAATTTTTACGGTCAGATGAGGGCTACAAATAACACAAAATCTCAATGGCCTGTGTAAAAACCCATATCCCGGGGGAATCTCAGGGTCATTTTGTGCCACCATATTATTATCCATAATCTGGGTTTTTGTTGGAGGATTTGACCAAGTCCTTGGTTGTGACATACATAGAAAGGATGTTAGCGAACATATTATCAGATCCTTTAATATGTTCAAAATTTATAATTTTTCCAAAATTCATGTAATCTTTGAATAAAAGTCATCTTCTATGTGATTTTTTATCTTTATGAATCTGGTTTTTTCCATAAGAAACAATTGTTTTGCAATCGGTTCTGATGGTTATTTCTGGTTTATCTATCAGAAATAATTTGAATGCATCTAGAGCATGTGTGATAGCATTGACTTCATAGTCAGTGCTGGTTTGATATATCTGAGGTTTTGCAGTATATTTGCCAGAGACATACCTGCATATTTGTTCTTCTATCTTAGAAGAATATTTGTTTTTATTTCGTTTTAGGATGACTCCCCATCCTAATTCGCTTCCATCACATTCGATTATCAAATAATCAGAATCTAATGGTAATTGTAGAATTGGTAGTTTATTTACCATTTCTTTTATTTTCTGAACCAATCTTATGTCTTCAGAATTAACATTTCTTTCTCCTTTAATAGAAATTTTGTTGTATAAAGGAGATGTGTATTTACCCAAATTTGGAATAAAATTTCGGGCATAATTTAAAAGTCCTAAAAAGGATCTTAAAGTTTTAATATTCTCCATTTTATCAATCCTCCATTTTATCAGGAAAATCTTGAATTTTTTTAGAAATATGGGGTTGGAGTTTTATGGTTCCATTACCTATTTCTGTTCCTAGGAATTTTATAAAACTTTTACAGATTTCCATTTTATTTTTAGAAACTATTAACCCATAGTGTTCTAATTTGTATAAAACTTGTTTGAGATGAATAAAATGTTCTTCTTTAGTCTTTGAAAAGACAAGTATATCGTCTATATAGACACAAGTGAAAGATTTAAAGTCTTTTAAAATGTTATCCATTTTTCTTTGAAAAATGACAGATGCATTTTTAAGATCGAAAGACATTACATGCCATTCATATAATCCTTCTGAACAGGAAAATGCTGTCTAATTTACAGAGTCAGGATCCATTTTAACTTGATGGAAACCACTCTTTAAGTCGAATTTTGAAAACCATCTTGCATTTTGTATGCGGTTTATCAAAATATCTTTAGATGGAACCGTATATCCATCTTCAACTGTGTTATCATTCAGTATTTTGTAATTGTAAATCATCCTAGATTTACCTCTTTTTTGTTCTGAAGCTTTATTAACTATGAAAGCAAGACTCCTGTGAGGACTCTCACTTGGAGTTATTACTTTCAGCTTCAAAAGATTGTCGATATGCAATCGACATTCTTCTTGTTCCTAGTTATTAAATTGTATGTCTTTTGTTTTTATAATCAAATCTGAGTTGATTATATTTAATTTGCAAATAATAAGGTCTCGATCCTAAAACTTTGTGGGGTCTTCTCCTATCATACTTGTTTTGTTTAACCTATTTAATATTTGTTGGATATTGTCAAACGTAATTGTTTTTGATATCTTTATGGAAGAAAAAGATTCCATGATATCATTTGTGTAATAATAATCAATATTTTCTAAATCTTCTTTCATATAATCACATGTGTCAGAAGATTTGGGGTTTTTACAAGAACATTCCTCAACAGGTTGTTCTAAGTGTTTTTTATTGTCATCGCTAATTATGAGAGATATTTGTGTTCTATCACTAATGATAACATAATCTTTGTTTATAGTGATAGTTCGATTATGGTCAGGAATAAAATCTAAATCAATAATCATACTTTGTTTGGAGATGACTAAATTTTCCATTCGCATAGTTTTAATGTGTATTTTCTGACCAAACATGTCACAATTTGTACTAAATTAAAGAAAGATATTATTTATCTCTTCATCATTTATCATTATTTGTCCAGACATCGTTTTGGTTTTTTGTACATGGTTACTTTTGGTAATCATGTAAGTGGATACTTTTGTTCTACACACAACTGTTTCAGAACATCCTGTATCTAAGAGAGCTTGAACTATAACCTCTTTTGCAGAGTTTTTGTCTTTTTGTGAAAAGTTTAATTTTACTAATACCTTTAAGGTTATTAGTTGTTTTGTGTTACAAACTAATGGGATACGTCCATAGTTCCCATCATGTTTGTTTTGTGTAAAGGTGGATACTGAACCTTTTTCGGTATCTTTTCCTTTAATAAGTTTTTCTAAGTGAAGAATATTTTCTTCAAGTGTGTTTAATCGGGTTTTTAAGACTGAAGTCCTAGTGTCGATTAATTTTTTGTCTTTTATATCTTTTTTTTTTAAGAAAGTAGGTATATCTTGTATTTCTGATTTTGTTTTTAAACAATTTAAACAGAAATTTTTGTAACAAAGGGGACGATATACCCTTTGAGAGATGTGAAAATATCTTTCACAATATTGACAAAGAATCGATTCTGGTCCTGAAAAGAATTGCACGTCATGAGAACATAAATTCTTTTCATTTATATTCATTAAACCATTACCCAAATAGTCTAATGTTTCTCCTATGTTTAGAAGAAGTTTAAGATTTTGGAGATTTGACTCTAAAAAAAGCCATCTAGTATGAGATTTTGGTTGTTATTGATTCTATTGATTTTGTATCAACAGAAATATCTTATATACTATCATGTTCTATCAAATAGTTGTGAAGTTAGATATTATTTATTCCAACACTTATATTTTCTATCCCTAGTGTTAGTAAGAGTTCAGAAACTATGAATATATTATCTAATGTATCATTATTTATATTGACTAACTCATATAAGAGTTCTAAACCTAAAAATACATTATATAATGTATTTTAATTCATCATTTATATCTATTAATCTTAGTATAAATAAGAATTATGAGACTTTAACTAATTTATCCAATATATCTTTTTCTTCATTTAGATAAAAATAATTTAAAAATCTATTTATAATATTGTCAAAAGATACGTGTACGGTGTATCTTCTTCACAAAATTTACCGTACCGTAGGGATAAGAGTATAGCAGTGCATTTTAAGCTTTTTAATACTGAACCACAATGACTTCAACTTTTTCATATGAAACACGTGATGTATAATGTTTATAAAGTTATACCCGTACATCTCTGCTTATCATCATTACAGGCACATGGAATATTTTAATGTTTATATTTAATGTTTATGATAAAATGTAAATTTAAAGTTGTATTTTTTTTTCACAAATTATCACATGTCAGATTAATATTAAATATCTTATCCGTATTAAATCAATATTCAATATAATTATTTAGTTTATATTATAAATCCAATCTTACATCAATTCACGATTTATTTAATATATGCTTAATTATTTATTTAAAATTATTCATTACAGACCATATAAAAAATTATTGAAATGTTATATATGTATAAATTTCTATCATTTTTTAAAAGTAGAAAAATTATTTCTAAATATAAAATTGTAAGAAATTACTTTCAATATTTAAATTTGTTTTAGAATCTGTTTAGTAGAGTTTCTTGTAATTTTTTAGAAAACTTTTCTGTAAGTTTTGTTTTTGCAGAAAAAAATGTCAAAAAATGTTTCCTTTGAATTTGTGTTTTACAGAAAAAAATATAATTTTCTTTAAATTTTTTTCCAAAAAAGTTCCTACAAAAGTTTTTGTATATAATTTAAAATATTATTGTTATTATTATTATTATTATGTATTTTAATATTAGTTTTTAATTATTAATATTATAATTATAAAAAAATGTATACATAATTCATAATAAATAAATTAAATATAAAAAATATTTCGGTCTCTCAGTACATGTATTTGAAAATAAAATAAAAAATATTAAGTTTTTTAACTTTCTGTCTTCGCATGTCAGCGTAAATCGGTTTATACAAATAAAAAATTTCTACGCAAATGATTTATTTTCTTTGTTATTAAACATTATTTCATGAGATAGAGAGTCTAATATAATTTTCTTACAGGATCTATAATATGTAGTTTTATTTAGAAAATTTGAATTCGACATGATTAAATAAGTTAGATAAATCTCACATTTCAGTTCATTTCCATCGACTACGTTTAATTTTGTTATCATCTTCTACATCAACGCAGACGCAGCCAAACGAGAAAAGGCGAATTTGACGCTGAAAAAGAAAATAGAAAGCGAACAAAGGAAGAGACGAGGAAAGGAGGGAGTGGAGAGAAAGAACAGTTCGTGTATGTCGTGACAACCGTTAAGTTACGGGTAGCCCTCTATGACGTGGCTTCGTCGTAGCCCTCCGATCACTCTCCATCGAAACACAATCAAATTTCTCCACTTATCTTTCCTTTCCATCTCTCCCTCTCGTTCGCATCTCATTCTGAATCTCGCGCCGTTTCTCTCTCCTCGTTTCGATTCGCTTCCTAGCTGTTGCGGATCCGAACACTTCCATTTCCTGCGCAACCCAATCGTCTGTACGACGCGTCGTTCAGAACTTCCACCTTCGTGCTCGATTGGTGTGTTGAAGTGATTTGGTTTGATTCGAGAGTGTTGCGTAGTTTGGAGTAGTTTGAATGTTCGTTCGTGCATGAGTAGTTTTGAACGGTCCCTTGCGAATTCGATTGAGACTGTGATGGCCTCTGCCGTCGTGAATTTCGTGAATGCGACGTTGGATTGGGTGATGTTCCCGTTGGATGCTACTTCTACGCGAGCTGTGGTTTTCGGAGTCCATATCGGTGGTAGTTTTTCGTTTCCTGGACTTCTTTTTATATTTCTTTTCTGCTTGAATTTATAAGTATGAACGTAACTAGTTAGTTAACTGATTGATTGATTTTCTGCATTTTAAACCTTGTGTTTGAAGGACATTTATTCATCGAAGTTTTTCTGTTGGTGGTCATACTTTTCTTGCTTTCGCAGAAAAGTTACAAGCCTCCTAAAAGGCCATTGACAAACAAGGTTAGTTCAACGTTACTATTTATCTATCTCTGTGTGTGTGTGTGCATTTTTTGATTTATTTTCTTGCATATTCAAGTTTTTAGTTATTTGTTGAATAATGTGATGTAGAGCTGGCACACGGTTGTGCAAAATTTTATGTGAAAATGTTGACATTTGGTTGGTTGTCATTTTTTTCCTGATACAGTGACTTTTATTTTTCCTATTTCATCAAAGATGAGCGCTTCACTTTTAGATTGCGTGCATTGTTGTTATGAGTGCGTATTATGCAGCTGAAAAGTGTTTTCTTTTAATGTTTAGATTTTGAAAGCTATTCAATGTAAGTAGAATATTGGACATTCTGTTATTGTGGTTTTTAGTTGTTCTAGGGACCTGACATGGGGGCATCTCTTATACTTTATGAAGATTTGAATTTTCAAGATTGATTTGGAGTTCCTACGATTGGAAAATATGATCTTCAGATATGTAATTCAGCTATATTTTTTTTGTCCCTGGTGCTTACTTGGAACTACTCTGATATTTATTCTCTGTTTTTGTTTCCCTTCAAGTAGTTTTGGGAGAATCAATTCATGATAGATTTCAGTTTGTGAAGTATGATTGTATTAACAGCAGAATGATGGATTTGAACTTGCATTTTGGATGATTGTTTGTGTTGTGTTATAACTTTTAGAAACATATCTCAAAAGAGGATGCAGACAAAATTGTATGTGACACAATTCTTCATGTGTGTACTGAAATTCTATCATTGGAGGTTTATGCTTTTGTAATTGGTATCATATTGCTGGCATTGAGTTGTTCTATGTACTTCTAGAATGCAGCTAAGATAGTAGTTTTTGAAGGTCTTGATTACCTGATATTGGAATAGAAGGTTTTGTTCGTTTCAAACTTTGTAATTGTTGTTTTAAAGAATAAGTAACTTATGTAGTCGACTTGTTACTCATTGTCTTCTCTGTTTCTATCTCTTGTTATATAAAATTCTAATGAGTGCTTCCCTTCGGTTATATGTTATGCACCTCTAGGTGCTGGAAATATACTACTGCTATAAAAGACGACACAACGTTAATATGTACTTTGGGGGATTTAATGATATGATTGCTGTTTGCGTAGCAATTTATTCTTTCCTTTTGTCTGTCATCAGTTTCTGCTTAAAATATTGAATTCTGTTAAGATATGTTTTCGAAATTATTATTTGCTAGTTTCTTTCTGTATTTAGTTTAGGTTTATACATGTTTTTCAGTCCTTATAAAATGAACAAGTTTTGAATTTAATCTTGTAATTTTTTTTTCTGTTTTCAGTCCCTCTAAAATTGGTAATCCCTGTTTTCTTTATTTTTCATCGCTTCAAAATGTGGAATCATTATATTTGGTCCCTAATATTTATTTTAAAATAGATAAATAGCATTTATATTAGGTATCTTGAAATTTTTTGTGTGTCACATGCTAATATTTCATCACAATCACCAATGAAATGATGGTTACTCGACTTTTTGTTTAGCATATAATTAATTAACGAGTGCAATATAATACTAAGAATCAAAGCAATGATTTTAATTTTACAGGGACTAAAAGCAAATATTTTTTTATAGGTACGAATAATCTAAACTTACTCATTTTATTGAGAGTGAAAACAATATGTAAACCTTTACATTATAACTAGAATATTCCATGTAGATTTTTTTTTTTTTCCTGATTATTGTGTGGAATCTCTAAAGTTACTGTTATTTCCTAAAGAACATAATTTCCATATTCTTTTAAAGGAACACTGTGCTAGAGTATGTGTATAGTATTTTAGGTTACTGATATACTGTAATCAGTTACCTATCACGATCTGACAGGGGTAGTTTGTCTGACTTTCAGTTAGTTTGTTGCTGTCATGGACCTTTGTGCCCTGCTCTTTATTTAGTGCCTTTCTGTAATTATCAATAAATTACTTTCTCGGTTTCCTCTCTCTCTCTCTCTCTCTCTCTCTCTCTCTCTCTCTCTCTCTCTCTATATATATATATATATATATATATATATATATATATATATATATATATATATATATATATATATATATGTTTTCAACAATATTTTAGCATATTATTCAATGCTAATTCTTGTACAATGCAATCTGTGATTCATCATGCTATTGTATTATGTCTTTTTTTTTTTTTTTTTTTTTTCTGTTCTTTTAATTTTATGCTCATTATCTGCAGGAAATTGATGAGTTATGTGATGAATGGGTTCCGGAAGCCCTTATTCCTACTCTTAATAAAGAGTTGCAGTATGAACCACCAGTGCTGGAGAGGTATTTTTTTTTTTCTTTGGTTGTAGCACCGTTGTTTGTTTTTTGCTTTAATGTCTTAAACATGTTGTAGATGAAATCCTCGAATTATTTTGTTTTATGCCTTTTAACTTCACTGCTATGGTTACATTTTCTTGACTTATGATGCATGAAATTTTCAAGGGAGAGTTCTAGGGCTTTGGTAAGATTTTCACCTTGTCAGTTGTGGCATGGTGGTCTTGAGCTTTTATTTTTTTATTTATTAATATTTTCATAATGGTCTTGGGACATAGCAACAGAAACAACCCTACCCAAACACACTATAATGGGAGCGTTGTGCACTGGATAACCCCTATAGATTTATAAATTCTTGCTTTTTAATTTTTTTTAAAAAGGTAGTGTAAATTAACAAGTTCTCCCTTATGATTTAATGATATTTCAGATGCCTCCTTTCCACTTTTCAAAGTGGATGATTAAATAATGTCCTTTTTTTATGCAGTGCTGCTGGGCCACATACCATAATTAATGGCAAAGAAGTTGTCAATTTTGCTTCAGCAAACTATCTTGGGTTTGTAGGTCATCCAAAGCTACTTGTAAGCAATTGGTTTCCATGTCCATAATAATTCCCCTTTTTGGGCACTGGGTTGATGTAGCTAATTTATATTTACTTTTTCTTGTAGGACTCTTGTTCTTCTGCGTTAGCAAAATATGGTGTTGGTTCTTGTGGTCCCCGTGGGTTTTATGGGACAATTGGTAAGACTCAATGTTAAAGTTTCTTTTCTGAGGAAATGCTTGTATTCTTATGATAATTTTTCTTTGCCTAGATGTCCACCTTGATTGTGAAGCAAGAATAGCGAAATTTTTAGGAACTCCTGATTCAATTCTCTACTCTTACGGACTTTCCACTATGTTCAGTGCAATTCCTGCTTTCTCTAAAAAAGGAGATATAATTGTAGCGTAAGTATGCTTAAGTTTGTCCCTGAAAATATTTTATGCTGTAATATTCAGTTTTTCATCTTATTTTTTGTCTCATGACATTTATTTATACTTTTAGTGGGTATTGACATCATATAAAATTGTTTTCTTTGGTTTTATCTCATTGCTTTTGCTTGTATAGTAGAATGGTATAAAGAACAAAATGAGACACTTCTCCATTCAGTTACTTGGTATGGCAACAGAGGCTGTTATTTTGAATTATTTTCTGTAAGTTTTTACGTTTTACAGGGATGATGGAGTTCACTGGGGAATACAGAATGGTCTTTATCTTTCTAGAAGCACAGTAGTGTATTTCAAGCACAATGACATGGACTCTTTAAGGGAAACACTAGAGAACATTACTGCCAAATATAAGCGGGCCAAGAATTTGAGGCGATATATTGTTGTTGAAGCTCTCTACCAGGTAGATATTGTCTATGACGCCTAAGGAGATTAGCTTTACACTTTTACATTGTGTTTCCTTAGAAGTTCTCAGATCACATGATTCACAACCTTTAGCTTTTAAACAAACAGCCTTTTGAAACTTTGAATTGCTTGCTGCTTCTTGCAACGGATGATATTGGTAACTCTTTCCATCGCTGCTAAGATAGTAGGCTAATCAACAAATGCAAATTTAAGATAATTATGAAGGATTAAAATTTGAATAAGCTTCCAGCCTTAGAGTGGCAGTTTGATTGGAACTGATAATTAAGGGCAGTTATGAAAGTTATTATATGACTAGAATTAACTGCTCTAGAAAACAGTTATGAATTAGGAACTCTAGGATGACAGTTAAGTGTAGAAATAACTGCTGGTAGTTCTATATTCTAAACTGTAGGATGGTAAATAACTGCTGCTGCCTGGCTGTTACGTATTTGGAGTATATATTTGATTTTTTATGTTGTTTGTGGGCAAAGAATATATATGTTAGGAACCAAGAATAGAAAACAGAAAGAAAAGAAAGATTTTTATTGAATACCAGTGGAAAAACAGGCACATATGCACTTGTGTGTTCGCATTTTTATTATGTATATATTAATATTAAAATATAAATATTGTTTATGAAATTATGAATTGTTGGAGATAAATAAACGAGAGACAGAGTTTTTTCACCTTTTTGTTCCCTTATCTTCCCTTTGTCGTTCTCTTGATTGGTCTTATTCTTGTTTACTTTTTTTTTATGGATTAATACATGTTGGATAGTATTTCACTGTTCATCTTAGTCCCATTTTTTTTTTTTCTGGTTTGGTCTCAATTTTTTTAGCATGATCTATTTTGTTGATTTAAGTTTTTTACTTTTTTTTTTCTAGTTATTTTAAATTTAAAGGCTAAAATTTTAAAATGTGTGGAATTGATATTATCATCATGCTTATATTTTTTGTGGAATTGATATTATCATGTTCATATTTTTAGTATTATGGAATTGATATTATCATATTTCTATTTTTTGTTAAATTTATATTTTTCACATAAAATAGACTCTTACAAGTCAAGTCAGTAGACCTCTCATAAGACTTTCAAGTCTAATAACCTTGGATGGTGAAAGCTGTCAAAATGCAATCCTAATAGATAGAAGCACTAAAAGAGAAGATGAAATCGGAGGGAAGGAAACCATAAAAGAGAGGAAACATGTTTCACAAAACACTCTCCTTAGTCTAACAACCTTGCAGGAATTGTTCTCACACAAAGAATAGTGGTCCCCATTTGTCTGTCTTGGAATGACATTATTAGCCCCTGATACCTCCCTTTGAGTTATTACATAACCCTTTATATAATTGTACTCTTGTTATGATCAGTCTTTTTCTTCCTATTTCTTTTTTATCTCTTTTTTGGATTGTCTATTCCCAAGTCTACATGTGAAGGCATGTTTGATCCCCTTGCCTAGCATGGAACTGTTGTTGGTTGTCATTGGGTTTACAGTGTGAAGGTTGGACTAGATGACAATATTGATTGATTTAAAGCTCGCTTGGTGGTTGAGGTTAATACTCAAATAGTTGGCATTGACCATGGGGACACATTCCCCCTATGACCAAGATTACCTTTGTACTATTAAGAATGTTAATTCTCAAATCTTTGGCTGCTTTTCTCTAGTTGATATTAAAAATGTCTCATTAAACTGTTGAGTTGTACGAAGAGGTTTACCCAGAGAAACCTCCCGGTTTTGCCATTTTTATGGCTCTTACCTTGTATGTTGACTTGAACTCTTTCTGGTTGGCTTGAAGCAGTTTGGTTCAGTCATAGCTTTGCCTTACTCCAATTTGGTACGAGTTTGTGAGGCTAATCACTTTATATGTTCCTTACACTCTTTGATTGGCTTGTGCATTTATTTAGTGACATCCCACTCATTGAGACTAGTATGCTTGATTGTCATCCCACTAACACTTTTATGGACCCTAATATCAAGATTCTTCCGATTTAGGGGAACTCATTAGAAAACCTACAAAAGGTATCACAAATTTGTTGTAGTCTTAATTACCTCATAGTCATTAGGCCAAAAGTTACTTTTATAGTCGATGTGGTAAGTTAATTTCTCAATGCCCCTTGTGATATGAATCACAAGGGGTGATTTAGGATCTTTAGGGTTAGAACCTTCTAAGAAATTTAGGAACTAGAAAGAAGGTGGAAGGAAATAATCACTCTTCCCAAGGAAGGCAACACACAAAGGATGTGAAAGTCCTTTGATACAGCCAAGGGTTCTTGAATCACTCAAGAATTTAGGAGAATCACTCTCACTAAGATAAAAGAGATAAACTCTAATATTTCTGAATAAAATTCCACTTGTTATTTCTTGATAAGAATGGTTCGGCTGATATAGAAGCGTTGCCATCAGAATTACAAAGACTCAATAAAAGAAAATAAATACTAATAATAACCCATTAATCTAGGAATTGAAAACTATTTAATGGAAACAAATAAAGGCTAATAATGATCCATTAACCTAGGAATTGAAACTACTTAATGACTGATTGTATGTGAAACTGTGGCAACCAAAAGTCAATCAGCTATGCACCCCTTAGTCTCCCAAAGGCTGATGACTAAATTTTCAATTGGGCCCTTATTACAACTTAAAACAAAATCAAACTAAAGCCCATTAATTGATTAATTCAAAACATAATTTGGTCAACTAACAATATTTGTTGAAGATCTTCCTTTATTTCCTTTATATTTGAGGATGATTCCATCACATCCTCAAATATATCAAGAATGCACTAGGTCCCAGACCCCTTATGAACATAAAGAAAACACCGGGACTATTTGTTAATGTTGATTGAGCATGGTTACCATCAAACAATGTTCCTAGATCCCTACTATTGTGTTCTCCTTAGAGGGAATTTAATCCCACAAAGAAGCAAGAACGTAATACAATTGCTAGATCTCGTGCTAAAGCTAAATTGTGTCATGGAGGTAACAACACTTGAAATTACATGGCATAGGCAACTTCTCTAGTAATTACAATTTGGAGATACCTAATCCAACTAGGGATGGCAAAAAAATCCATGTCCACGAATATCTGTGGGTAAAATTAGTCACGAATACTAAATGGATATCTGTAATGAGTACAAATATTTTAATTACATGTTTATTACTGAGATAGGTACGTGGATTATAATATCTAATTTGCATATACCTGCCAATAATTTTTATTTAATAATGTTTTTGTTAGAATTATTATTAGTTAGTGGTTAGTGGTTAGTGGTTAGTAGTTAGTAGTTGGTGGTTGGTGATTGTTAGTAGTTGGTGATTGTTGTTTTAAATGTTGTAATCCTATATATATGAGATCATAGAGTGGAGTAAGCATCCCACTAAACTAGAAATATTCTTTTCACTCTCTTTACTCTCTTAACTTGGTATCAGAGCTAAAGCCTAACATCTTTCCGGTTATTGTCATGGGCCAAAAGTTGCCCTTTAGTTGGGTCAAAAGTATCCTTTGCCTGGTTCGGCAGGCTTCGTTGGAGGGGGCGTGTTGAAAGTCCCACATCGCCTACCTCATGTCATTTGGTATGGTTTAAATACATGTTAGGCTACTCCACATATTACCAATTGGTTTTATGTTGGAATCTTAATACGTCCGGCCATTTTCTGGTCATCGTTCGACCATTTTCCGGTCACCGTCCGACACTTTTCGACCATCATCCGACCACTTTTTGGTCACTTTTCGGCAACCGTCAGTCCCCCAGTCCAGTCACCTTTTTTTTGCTGTCGTCCGACGACTTTCTGACCACCTTCTAGTAATTTTCCGGCTATCTTGGGTGTTCTCTTACAGGTTCCATTGTCTCCATCTTACATCTACATTATTTAAAACATGTCGTCAGGGCCCATAACCTCCTTTTCCGGAACTCTCACGATAACGGCTGAGAAATTAAATGGAAAAAATTACATGTCTTGGTCCTCTTCAGTGGAACTTTGGCTCCTTGGACAAGGGTTTCACGATCATCTAGAAGAAGACGGAAGTAAGATACCAGAAGATCAGACTCAACAATGAAAAAAACTTGATTATCAACTCTGTGCTCTACTGTGGCAATCAGTAGAACCAAATATTTTGAACACTCTCATATCCTTTAAAACATGTAACTCTTTCTGGAAAAAAGCTCAGAATATCTTTGCAAATGATATCCAACGCCTCTATGATTCCGCTAATCGATTAGCCTCTCTCAAGCAAGTGGATAAAGATATGATGACCTTTATTGCTGAAGCTCAATCAGCAGTTGAAGAATTAAAGATGTTCCTAGAGGTGGATTCGTTAGAGGAGATAAAACAAAAGTTGGATAAATTCTATATGGTTATGACTCTCCGGGCTATGAATTCAGAATTTGATCATGTTAGAGATCAAATTTTAATTGGACAAGAAGTTCCTTCTATGGAAAGTTTGACTACAAGACTGCTTCGTGTTCCAACTCTCAAATAAAAAAATAATCAAGAACTTGTTGAATCTTCTGCTATGATTTCTACCCGTGGAAGAGGAAGTCGCGGCACTAGAGGAGGACGTGGAGGTAGAGGACGTCCTCAGTGCACTCATTGCAAAAGAATGGGTCATACAGTGGAAAATTGCTACTCTTTGCACGGTTTTCCTGACAAAACTGTTAATTTTTCCAAATCTGAAATGGTTGAACTCAAGTTTTCTCACGAAGAATATCAGGAATATTTGAGGTTGAAATCCAGTAATCTAGCACAGTCATCAACAACCCCAAATTCATCAACAACTTGCATTTCACAATCTGTGGAAAGTCAAAATCCATGGATTATTGACTCAGGTGCTTCTGGTAATGCGCCTCTTTGTTCTCTTCTCTCTCATTTCCTAAAATTCCTCATCTCATAACCTTAGTCAACGGATCTAAAGTAGCCTCTAAAGGAACTGGTCAAGTCTCCATTTCTCCGTCTTTAAACTTAAAATCTGTTCTTTTTGTTCCTTCATGTCCCTTCAGTCTCATTTCCCTAAGTTAATTAACCAAATTATTGAATTGTTCAGTAACCTTTAATGCCAACTCCTTTTGGTATACAGGAACGTGGTACGGGTCGACAAATTGGCGAATGACATGAATCTGGAGGCTTATACTACCTTGGGACTAAACCATCTGTATCTTGTGTTGCATCCTTGTCTCCAAAACTATTACACGAACGTTTAGGGCACCTTCACTTATCAAGATTAAAAAAATTGGTTCCTGAACTTCAGACTCTTCAAGATTTTGAATGTGAATCATGTCAACTAGGGAAACATACTAGGTCCTCTTTTCCTAAACGTTCTGAATCTAGATGTGACTCTGTCTTTTCTCTTGTTTATTCTGATATTTGGGGTCCTACTCATGTCTCATCCTTTGGCTATAGATATTTTGTTACTTTCATTGATGAGTTTTCTAGGTGTACTTGGATTTATCTAATGAAAGACCGTTCTGAATTATTAGCTATCTTCAAGTCTTTCCTTAACGAAATCAAAAATCAATTTTGAAAATTAATCAAAGTTTTACGAAGTGATAATGCCAAAGAATACTTTTATAATGATTTCTCCACTCTCTTAAGCTCCCAAGGCATTTTACACCAGTCTACTTGTCCTCACACCACAACAAAATGGTATAACAGAACGAAAAAATAGACATTTGGTTGAAACTGCTCGTACCTTATTACTTGGTGGAAATATGCCCGTTCATCATTGGGGAGATGCTATTCTTACTGCATGTTTTCTCATTAATAGAATGCCATCTTCTTCTCTTAACAATAAAGTTCCACACTTTATTCTATTGCCAAAGGAGCCACTCTTTCATGTTTCTCCTCGTGTATTTGGTTATGTATGTTTTGTTCATAATATGTCTCCAGGTTTAGATAAACTATCAGCTAGAGCCATCAAATGTGTCTTCTTGGGATATTCTCGTCTTCAAAAAGGATACCGATGTTATTCTCCTGAAATCAAGAGGTACTACATGTCTGCTGTCACTTTTTTTGAGTCAACTCCCTTCTTCCCTTCTTCTATGCAGGATATTAGTTTGGTCTAAAATGTCCTACCTATACCCTTAGTGGACCCATTTGTACCTCCTCCTCCTGACACCCAAAATTCCACACAAAATACATCGGGATCCTCATCACTGCCTCTTATTACCTATCAACACAGGATCCAAATGATCAGTCCCATGTCCCAAGATGAGTCTTCCTCAGTAGATCCTTCTCATTTACAATTTTCTTAGCTATCATAGATTATCTCCTTCCTATTTTTCTTTTGTTTCTTCTGTATCCACTATTACTATTCTAAAAAATGTGAAAGTGGCACTTGATCATCCTGGATGGCGACAAGCCATGATTGATGAAATGCAGACTCTTGAGCACAATGGTACATGAAACTTAATTTCTCTTCCACCTGGGAAGAAGACTGTTGGTTGTCGTTGGGTCTATGCCATTAAAGTTGGACCAAAAGGTGAAGTTGATCGACTCAAAGCTAGATTAGTAGCAAAAGGCTACACTCAGATCTATGGCCTTGACTAAAGTGATACTTTTTCTTCTGTGGCCAAAATGACTACTATTCGACTTTTCTTTGCTATGACAACTATCTGTCATTGGCCTCTTCATCAGTTAGATATCAAGAATGCGTTCTTGCATGGTGATCTTGAGGAGGAAATTTATATGGAGCAACCTCCTGGTTTTGTTGCTCAGGGGGAGTCTAGTTTGGTTTGTAAGTTACATCGTTCTCTCTATGGTCTCAAACAATCTCCACGTGCTTGGTTTGGAAAGTTTAGTCACATTGTTCAAAGTTTTGGATTAAAACGAAGTGAAGCAG